TTGAAACATAAAAGATTCCAACAACCATGCACAAAATGATTATGCTTTGGTTGTATGTTTGAAATTTTAGAAAGTTATTTGTCAATCAATGGCTCAATCAGCTGCCACTTTCACACCTTAATTGGCTCAAATTGCTCAGTGGAATCAATGGTCCACTTTTGGTTTTGGGAATAATAAATTTTCATGTCGAATGACCCACCAACACCACCACCCAATAATAACCTAATAAAACCAAAAAGTTTACCTCTTTTTTTTTTTCTATTTTCTTTTCCCCAACCAAAAAAAAAAAAAAAGCTTTATTTGTCTCGAGCTGTAACCCTCCCCTTTGCCCCATGATATGATAATTCCAAAGGCATTGGAAATCGAGTTAGTGGAGCTTTTCACCGTTCTCCACAAGCATGTCCTTAACATTCATCCCAAAATTTCAACCCCACTTTTAAGAAAAAATACTGTTTAAATCTTACTTTATTCTACAATATTATTTCCTTTTTTTATTTATTTTGTTTAGATTCTCTACATTTTCCATTTCTTCTATCTATAAGGTTCGGATAGGGAGGAGAAGTATATGGATGAATCGATACCACGAATGAGAGGATACTGAGATCATAGAAACATAGTTGAGAAAGACTTAAAAGAATAGACTGTTACTATACCTATACTTACAAGGTTTTGCACCATATTTTTATGGTTCAACAAAATTAAGCATGTTTGACTAGGAGTAATTTTGGGTCAATGATTCGTGTTGGTTTGAAGGAACAGTCTTCACTCTTCGTATGATGGGACAAAAATTTGAATCTATAAGTATTTGTCTACGCAGATACCTATTTTTCAAAAACTAAATGAGAAAATAAAGGAGGGTTCATGTAAAGCTTCTCTTAAATTGTTTATTAAAATATTTGGGATAAAAGACTAAAACTGTTGTTTTATGTAAATTTCAGGAACTAAAACGAACGAAAACTCTCAAATTTCATAAAATAAAATGAGAAGCTTCAACCTTTTTGGCTCTATATATATATACCTCCCACTGTGCCCTCCCATAGCCCAACTCCTCTCTCTTTTCTTCCTCTGTCTCTTACAATATGCAAAGCTCAAGCTTGATATCAAACCATCCTAACGACGCCGAGTCTGACCCGAGCGACATCAACGGGCAGTGATAGCGGTGGATCGGAGATGGGTCGTTGTGTAGATAAGAAGAAGGGAAAGTAATTTTTAAGCAAAGCATGAGAAAAATATGCAAAGAAAGAAGAAGAAAAAGAAGAAAAATCAAAGCTTTGCAATGGCTCTCTCCTGATAGTTTCCCAGCTTCAAAAGAAGAGGCAGATTTTGGGAGTTGGGAGAGCGTTTTCTGAATTGCATTGCAGAGGGGAATTGAGGGTAATGGTCCGAATTTAATTTATGGGGTTTTTTTTTTTTTTTATGTTCAAATCTAATTTTTCTTTTGTAGCTTTTAATTGGTGTTCAAGACATGGGCTGTAAGAGATGCATACAAGCAAAGCTGTTGGTTAGGGTTTGTAAGAGTGGCTTTAGGGTTTTTTAGGGTTTCGTTAGGGTTTTTTAGGGGTTGGGGCTTTCTTTTGCTGCTGCTGAGCATGCATCACTTACACCAAGCATGTATTTTTTACTGTCTTTTCTTATCATCATTTTAATGGAAAATGTTTCTTGATCGTCATAAATAAGATTTGTTTTATAGAATAAAATTTAGCATTTTCAATAATCATTGTCTTGAATTTGATCGGCCGTTCATGTTTTGATTCTGTGAGTCGAAATTAATATGATATATATGTTTCATTTAATAATATATTGGTTTTACTTTCGGTAAAGAGAAAAGATACATTTTAAAATTCTTTTTTTAATTATTATTTTTATTTTCAAGAATCTATATCTTATTAATCAAGAGGATCCTATACATCTTTAAAATATAAGCTAGAGACTTTGACGTGAGGAAATTAAAACATATTCTCCTGTATAATCCAATAAAAATGACCAATTTGAACATAACTCAGCTGATTTAGGCACCTATTTACGATTAAAAAGTCGTGAATTCGAGTCCCCACTTCTACATATTGTTACTAAAACAATAAAAACTTTGTTTTTAACTTAGTCTGCCTACATATTTGAACTATCATCCCCACATGTGGTAAAACACAAAAAAATATGTTAATTATAGCAAAAGACGGCGTTATCCATCAAATTTCATGATAAAGATTTCATCGTTTTTAACTTTATGAATTTAACACAAGTATAATATTTATGGGTTCCATCTATCGATCTAAGATCCTTAAACATGCCCCTCGAGATTATTATTGTGCCTCTTTTGGGCTTATCAATCTCAATTAACCAAATTTAATTTTTTATCAAGTACTCGTTTGAACTTTTGAGCTCTGATACCATATTAAGATTTATGGAGTTGTACCTTAGAACCAATTAGTATTAAGAGTAGGTAGTCTATATATCTTATAAATCTTGTTAGGTCATTTTGATTTTTTCGACGTGAGATCCTTACCAAAACAAAGTAAAGAAAAACAAGTAAAATATATATGATGTTTGAAAAATTAACACATGGAATAATTAACACTAGCTCAAAGCAAAAAGTGGAATAATTAAGATTCCATTACATCTTTTATTTAACTTTTTGAAAAGCTTTTTGACATTGGATTACAAAAAGTGGGGGTGTAGATTACTGTTATGGATGCTTCACTTTTTATGTTTCCTGTAAAGTGCTTCTTCAGTCAAAATATTTACAAGAAATATAACAAAATAATGTAAAAGAAGAAGCATATAATATATATATACATTGAGTTTGTTTTATGAATATTTTACTTATGTTATAAATTTTGAAAATACCATCTAAGACATAATTGTTTGGCACTTAATTATTTCAATTAAAAAAAACTATATATATTTTTAACAAACAATAAATAAAAGTATGTCGTGTCTTTTTTTTTTTTTTTAGAATAGTTTTTGTTGTTTTTCGTTTGAAAATCATGAGAAGAACAATGACGAAAAATATCCATTTTCTAGTTTAAAGAGTCAATTTTAAACATAAATTTTTAATTTCACCAAATTAAACTTTAAACTTCAATACATGGAATAATTAACACTAGCTCAAAGCAAAATTAAACAATTAAAAAGATTTGTTGCTTTCGTTTTAAGATTGGATGAGAGTTAATTTTGTTTTCGTTTCCTAAACAAAATTGATGGAAGAACAAAAAGTAGTGGCCATAGATTTTTGATTGATAGATCGGAGTCGTGAAGTAGAAAATAAAGAGCTGACCAATTAAATATTTTTAGAAGAAAATTAATTTACTTACCCTCGAGTAAGATTMGATTGATTTGCAAGGTTAAAAGTTTTTTTTTTTTTTTTTAAAGAAAATCTATAAGGTTTGATAGCCAATTGTTTGTGCAACAAAGTGTAAGAGAGCTCGACCAATCAAGTCGAGATGGATCAATTGAACGAGCTTGGAAGAACTAGAGCGAGCTAGAAGATCGTGTAACGGGGAAGGACCTGCACAAGGGAGCAACGCTCAAGTCAGTAAGGAGGTCGACCTTGATGTTTAGACCAAGATAGAATGAGATACCTAACTGCAGAGTGATACCCCTATATATCTGTTTGAGTATCCAATAGTACATCCGACCGACACTTGGAGTATGTCAGATTCCTACCTTTCGTGTTAGAGATGTTCATGCTGAGACGCTGTGTCGGCTATAGTGGTTGTTCCTAGATAGAAATTACTTTTGAAAAAATCAAATTAGTTTATAACTATTTTTTTTTATTGACAGAGTTAACTAAGTAAAAATTGATCTGAGAATCTGCTACCAAAAATTAAACTAATTTTTAAGAAAATGTAACAAAGTATTTTAATTAAAGCTATTTTATAAAAAATATTTTAAGAAAAAATATTTGTTTAAAGAGTGTTGACCTTAGAAATTAAGTCGAAAAGCACTTTGTACCAATTGATGTATTTGAAAGTGATTTTAACATGACAAAATCACTTTCGCCGTTGTCAAAATCACCTCCATTTCCATGGATCATGTTTTACAAATTCAAAAATTGATTTTGAAAAAACATAAAATTACTTAAAATTGATTTTTAAAATATCATTTAAATGGTGATTTTGAAAAATCAATTATTCTTAAATCTATTTTTTCAAAATCACTCGTTCTACCAACACCGCTAAACACATCCAAATAAATATTTAACTGAGTACAACCAAAAACAATTTCAACAAAATATATATATATATATTTGCAAAGGCAATTTCAACAATATTAAAGGCAAGGAACTGTTCCTTTTTGTATGAGCGATGGGAGTCCATTTTGTAATATCTCACTTTTTATGAAAATGTTGATTGAAATATTAGTATAGTATTTATGTCTATGATATTTTTTAAAAAAACTTTATAAAAATTAAAGATTCATCCCAAATATATAAATTAACAAATAAACAACTCACAATTTTTAAATAAGTTTAAAATTATATATATACTTTTTTTTTTGCAAAGGAAATTGCTTATATTTTATCCATGTGGATTCATCCACTCATTCAAGGTTTTAATATTGATGAAAACGTCTAAGTCAATGAATGGATATTAGAAAATTATAAAATAAAAAAAAATTCATAACAAGAATTTAAATAAATAAATAAGCATTTCATAATTTTCAAATAAGTTAAGAATTAAAAAACTATTAATATTGTTGATATTTTTTATATTTTATTGATTTTTTTACGATACTATGAAAATATCGATTCACCTCTCTCATAAGAATGTAAAATTCATGAACAAATAAAAATATCATCATGTCTACATAAGTTTAATATCATACCCTCGTATTCAATACTTTGCATAATGTAATAAGATGTGTCGTTGTACTTAGCTGCCACACACAGCCCAAGAAGGGGAGGGAATCTTTTGGTGTTTCAATGGTAAAGGTTCGAAAATTGTCTCAAGGACCATTGAATTATTAAAAAAAAAAATTATAGTGTGAATAAAACCAATCCCTTCAAACCAAACCAAGCATAGCTCGAGAATATCTATTTCCAATCAAAAGGTTGTGAATTCGAATTATCACCTCCTCATATTTGACCCAAAAATAAAAAAACAATTCATTCCCTCCAAATCCCACAAAAAGGAACCCACTTTTATTGACACAATAGACTTGACGTTTACTCAAAAAGAACCTAATAATAAAATAGAGCAGAACAAAAACTTTGAACCCAACACATTATCTGGATACCATAAAATTCTTGTTTTACACAACTTATTTTAAGATCTTGAACCAATCAAACCTACCTTTAGATTACCTAAAAAGAGTTTCATAGGTTGGTGCTGCTGTCATTAGCTACGGAGATTGTATCCTTACTAGACGATGAGACAATCAACCAAAAAAATGGTGAACAATAATCTTCTTCTAATCTTTGCCTTCTGGAGGGCAGGAGATCTTCAAGAAAACCCTCTACAAATTGTCAGACAGTTAAAACCGCGTATGCAATTTTGTGTTTCATTGCCAATAATTTAAACTGACCAATGGTTATGGAACTAAGCAACACTAAGTTATAATCTTTGCTTTCGCAATAATAACTAGTTATGTAATCCAAGGAAACTCCTTTCAATAAGATGAGTAAAATAATACAAATAGACAATACCCGTAGGGCTGCTGCTGTCAAGCCCCTAGGTTCTTGTAACTTCTCAAGCCAAATGTTATAGAGAAAGAAAAAGCCTTTTTCACCTAAGAAACTATTCGAGGGAGCTCAAGTAATTACACTACTATTAGGGAAATGGAGCAAACAAATTACAAACTGCATCAAGCATCCAACTCTTATTGGAGCAGCCTGATTGAACTTTTTCCCAATCCCAAGAGGGATTTAAACACACATCTATCTCTGTACTGCTACTAAGTGATATTTGATTCAAAGGTATCCACATAATTTACAATCCAATTATATCATGATTTCACACACTTATGTTAAGACAAAGCGCATAACATGCAATGATCATGCCAAAAGTGTTCTTAATTCTATCTGCTTAACTAAATAAAATATAAATCCTCTGTTGGAAATAATAAAACTGCCCAAAGGATGGAGCTGGAAACCATGAAAACTAAATTCATCAAGATTTGGAATGTATACAAGCTCCAAATATAGGGGGGAAAAGATGACAGTTTAAGTAGATGACCTTTGCATATCAAATAATTTAATTAAAATGTAGATTTTCCTTAGGTTAATCTGGTAGAATAATAGTGGACCTTAAAATTGGATCAAATTGCCCTTAATTTCCATAGCCGATCACATAAGTCAAAGATTTTTTTAGCCCAACCAGTTATCCATAGAAATATGGCAGCAAACAAAAGCTCCTTTAACATAGGTCATATTCCGCGATTCACTGACAGATAACATGTTTGCTTTAAACAAGTGTTCTAAATCAGATCTGATAACCAATTTCAACAGAAGAACTGTGGCAAATCTAGACAGGAGATGGAACATTTAAAGAGATGAAAGAATTTTACCAGACCAACATCCATGGCAAACGGATCTGCGGATGTGGTGAGGGTGAAGGGAAAGGGGGAAGAGATTAGAAAATCAGCGGGCATGGGTGGACTTGGAAAATGGAGAATCGGTGTTCATCTTCCAAGTCACCGATGCCAAAAAATTTCCTCAATCTTACGCCCTTTCCCGCTCGCCTCTGATTTCTCGCACAAACAAGGCCTTGAGCTTCCGATTGATCTCCATCTTGAACTTGGAGATTCTGAAGTTTGAGCTTATGTAGAAACAACATAAAAAATTAGGGCAAAATTTTGGGTTTCTTCGCTGTAGATCAAAAAGTCATTGTGGCCCGAAGTCGGCCCACGTTTAATCCATATCCAACCCAAAGCCCAAAATTTGAGTGGGTCAAAGTTCAGTTATAATATATATATATACTGTAATCAAGTTAATAAAGTGTACAACTTTTATGGGGGAAATTCAAGAATAATGTGATTTAAATTATAAAAAATCTAAAAATATAGTAGTTTTTAAGTAATAATGCAAAAATACAAATTAAATAAAATATTTAGAAGTAAATTTTGGTCAAAGTCAAAACTCATATGTGTCACACACGAATTTTGTATACCACGTATAAGTTGATGTATAAGTTAGTGTTGAGATGGAAGTGATGCACAATTTAGATAAATTCAGTGCGGCGTACGATCGCAATGGACAAAAACTAAGAGGTAGCAGTGGACGGATTTAATGAGTAAGGTAGAGGGGAGAGCGAGAGATCGGGAGGGAGGGGTAGGCCCACGTTGTCCACTTCCGCACTAAGTTACTTGTGATTTACATGCCGTTTATAGTATATGTAGACGATTTACCTACCGTACTACTAGCTCATTTAACAACATGGCCCATTTTATAAGTGAAATTCATAATTTGGTAAAAAGTTTGGGGACGAATTCTGATAAATGCCTGGTTGTTCGTCTACTAATTAGCATGAATTATAGAAAATAATTCTTAGTAAATAGTCATTCATGATAATGGTGTAATGAGGTTGAAAATAAAATCATACTAGGAATATGATTATTGATTTTCTTTCCTATTTTAAAAAGTACTTTCTAAATTTTATGGAAAATTAAAGGTTGAGAATGAGATTAATATGATTTCGAAGGAATAAAAGTGCTGTCTAAAATTTTCATATTTTTTAATTACTCAATGGAAAAATTATTTCGAAAATTCTTAAAGAAACAAACCCAAAAGTGATTGAATTATTATCGTAAAAATGCACAAGAACATGTCCGGAAAATCAATGAGCATCATCAATTAACATCCCCAAAACTCTTTACATAGTTTGCTCTGCCAAAAATACAGAGCTCAACAGTTATCCAACCACTAAGTTTCAAATCCGGATTTGAACAAAAAAAAAAAAAAAAGAACAGCAAAATATAGCAAAAAGAAAGCCCTTGAGACTTGAGACTGTTTTTCCCCCCCTCAATATCTACCTAACTTGTATCTATGATATATATATATATGTTCTTTACTTCTTATAGCTGCATTATGGAATGGAATGTTATTTACCGCTCTCATTTGAGGCTTACAAACAAACAAACAATCACTATGCATTGGTTTTTATATCATTGTTTTTGTATGTCCAAAGAGTTGGTAAAATAATATTTTCACCTGTCGAGCTTGGGGGTCCTGGCGGAGGGCTTCAGCGGCCCCATGAGCCTTTCCTGGTCAGTGAGGGCATGGCGGAAGTGGCAGCGGTGACCGTACGGGCAGACGACTCCGGCCAGGACCATCCGACACACCTCCGTCTTGTAGCGGGGGTGGCGGATGACAGGGCGGAGCTCCTCTATGCCGTGGGCGAACTGGCAGTGGTCTCCATAAGGGCAGCTGCCCGTTTCTTGCCATTTGTTACAGAGCTCCGTCTTGAACATCCCCTGGTTGTACACCTCCAGTTCCAGTGGCTTTTCCTCTTCTTTCACTCCTTGCACGTACACCTTTTGCTGTTTTTTCAGAACAGAACAACACACCATTAATACAATGAATACTACAATGCCTAAAGGAACGGATGATAATCAAGAGCCCGTTTAATAATCTTTTTGTTTCTCGTTCTGGTTTACAATTTTATTAAGAAATCTAAACTTTTTGACAAGCTATTTACGTTTGAAACAATCTCAAAATTGTAAAGAAATTTTGGAAAAGACAATTACAAAAACAAGTTTCTTGTTTCCTATCCCGTCCCATTTTCAATTTGTTCCAACATAAATAAAAATTTTCTTGTATCATTCTTAAACTCATGGGTGTTCAAGCTTATGCAACTTTATTTTTCTTTTTTCTTTGTTCAAAAAGAGAAAACAGAAGGGAAAAAAAAAAGGAAGTTACAAAGAACGACTCTAAACTTACACCTTAAATACACCATTTTCCTCTCGAACTAGAAATAAGGCCCACATAATCAGAAAAATAAATTGACTACATACTTACCCAATAGACATCGGATCTAAAAACAGGGAAAAAAAATCAACCTGTGTGACAATATTATTGAACAACAAGAAAACACTTGACTGCACAGTTCTAATAAAAGATAAAGAAAAAACAACAAATTCAGCCTAATGCGACTCTATATTAACTACAAATTAATGTGCAGTCAAATTTTTAATATCACAATGATAATAACAGTCTCTACCTTTTAAGTTGTATAACTATTTAACTTAGCAGTTCTATTGAATTTCTAATAATTTTTTTGTAGGAAAGAGAATTTATAAATTTATTAATTTATAAAAACTTGTAAAATTCACCAACCAAAAAATGGACCTTTTCAATTGGGTTATTTCTTGGTTTGTCGTCAGGTCTAGAACCACCCAAGCTCCTCCATGGACTCAACTACGTTGTAATCATTATATATATGTGATTTTCTTTTGTATATCCTTGTCTATTTTGTTTAAAATTATAACTTGAACCCCCCATTCACAATGTTTTATTCCCCAGTGCCCATTTCAATACTACAATTTGAAAAGATTAGAAACTTTCATTCGATTACTTTCCATGACTACTTGTCATAAATAACAAAGAAGTTTTTTTTAGTATAACAATTTATAGATACGGGGGATCGAACCACCCATAACAAAGAATTTGATACTGTTTAATGCAGTTAATTAGTTATATGAAAATATTTTAAGGGAAAAAAATAATAATGGAAGCAAAGATGAAAAGAATTCCTCATCCTCCCACATACCCGGTGACTTTCTTCTTCTTAAAGCAATTGGTCACAAAGAGAACTATAATCTCCCTAGAGTCTGCTATCAGATTTTTAGTCACTGTAGCTAAATGTGATTAAAAAATAATAATAATTAGGATACCAGAGCTCAATTAAATTCTGAGTTGTATTGGCACGTATATATATTTTTTTCTTGAAATATATTGGCACATAATTTCAGTTGAAGAGAATGGCAATTTAGTAAAATGAATAACGAGTCATAATTTTACTAACCTTGGCAGGACTTGCAGTTCTGGGACGAGATGAGGTGCGGATCTTTCCGCCCTGGGTGGTGCCTCCTTGAGCAATCTTCAGGTACCCATTGGACCTCACAGAGATGCTTTTTGGGAGCGAAAATCTCTCCACTTCAACGCCCTCTACCCTTCCACCCTCCATTACGCTCGTCGGGCTCTCATCGCAAACTTCTTCCCATGTCGAACTGCTTGCTCCCTTCTCCCCAACACAGAGTCCGCCGAATCCCTCCACTAAATTAAACGAGGGAGCTTGATCAGGGGAGGCGTACTGTTTCTGAACCGAAGCGTGGATCAGGAGGCTCAGGTGTTTGCTAAGCTCGTGGTTAATACTTCTGAGGTGGATATTCTCTTGTCTAAGAGCGTCCGCTTCTTCGGTTGCTTCCCGAAGATGAGTGAGGCAGAGGCTATGTCGATTAACCATTTCCTGGTGATCTTGAACGACTCGGTGATTCGAGTCTCCATAGAGAGTCAATGGAAGAGAGACTGGAACGGATTGTTTGGGAGCAAAGATTGGAGAATTATAGAGGGAAGCATAAACATCGTTTGTTCGATGCTGAGACTTAAGCTGCGACGACGATGACATAGCAGTTGCAGAGGTGGTGCTCTTGTGCATTTCAACTGCAAAATCACGCCGCGCATTAATCAGAGATAACGCAATTTCTCCAATATTAGTAAACGAAATAAACATACGATTACAAATAGTTCGCGATACAATCTAATCCCTTCCACCAGATCCACAAAAACAAGGAAAACAAAACAGAGATTGACGGAGATATAAAATTCCAAAGCAAGAATTCAAGAAACAGTTTGAGGAAAAAAAAAACGATCGGTCAAGAACATTTTCCATAATCCGTATATCGAAGTAGTTCCAGAACACATCCAACCAAACTAACAAGAAAGCATCGAAGATCAAATCACTTGATGTACTGATTAATGGAAGCAACAAACAGAGGAAGCAGCATCCAAAGCAAGCATGCAAGAAACAGATTGACAAAAAATGATCGATCAAGAAAATTTTCCACAGTTAACAGTAATCGACAAACCACAAAGTAGTACCACATCATATCGAACAAAACTAAAACGAAACATCCTATTAAAGAAGATCGAATCAAATGATGTACTGATTAATGGAAGTAACATATATTGATGAAAACAATCGCATTATAGGAAGAAAAATGAAGGAAGAACTCACTGAATCGGCGAAGAAAACGCAGCCGAAGAAGAAGGAGAAAGGAGAGAGTTGAGAAATGGAGAAGAAGAAGTGGTTTTATAAACAATTTTTTTAATTTAATTTTAAAAACTAATTAATTTCACCGCTTATTAAAAGGTTAGTTTCTTTTCTCCAACTTTTTACCCCTCCTCAGGGGCATTTTAGTCCTTTTATGACAAATATAGGTCTTATAGTGGGGTCCACTCCTGTAATTAAATCTCAGCCGTGTGATTAACATTGATTTAATGATTAAATTTTGGAGGGAGGGGAGGGAGATGACAATCAAGTGACTGCTTTGCCTCGTGTAAGTCTGTTATCAGCCACATGCGTCAGTGAAAGTAATTTCGACCCCAAATTACTCAAATACCCTCATTTTTCTCTTCTAATAACGATGCTGTCCCTCAACAGCTCCCCTTCCCTTCCCATGGCCCTCCTCGAAAATTCTGAAAAGTTTTCCCATTTTTCCTTTTGACAGATAATTTAAGATTTAACCCATGAAAAAATATATATATACAGTTCAATTCACCGTATTATATATTAATTTTCATTATTTTATCTAATCAAGTCCTTAAATACCTGCAAAAATTTAAATGATAATAATTAAATCTAATTGACCATCATTTTGGAATATATTGGAGACTTAAATAGAATAGATRCAAAAGAAAAAAAATTGTGAAGAAAACAGGACGAAAATTTAAAAAAGAATTATGAAATAATATTCATCTAATACAATTGTATTAAATAAAAACTCTAAATTTCTACACCCATTTTTCAGATATTTTTTTTCACGCGTTTTATAAATATTGGAATCAAATTTTAATACCGGAAAATAATTAACATTTAAATTTAAAAAATGATTCTGTTTTACAATTTTGAATAATTTTTTAATGCTAATTAAAAAACGGTACTTTGTAAGTAAAATTACTTATTTAAAAGAATATATAATTTAAAATTCAAAGTAAAATAATTATGAAATCAGCAAGCAGCAAAAATCAAATTCTATGGCATATTTAGCTGGCCATAGTTAATTAATCCTCTTTATTTTTTACCCAAATTAAAAAAACAAATCATTATCAAATCAATTGAAATGTGGTCTTAAGTAATAATTTCAATATAGTTTAACGGATTATCATTAAGACATATATTATCAACCAATTATTAAAAATAAAAGTTTCAATTTTTAAATGTTCTATTTTAGATTCTAAATTTTATATTTAAGAAAAAAAAGTATTATTACAGTCATTATTAGGATATTTTTTTATTAGTCATTTGACAATAGCTCAAGTTGATTTCAAGACACAAAATTTAAAACATCCGACAAATTTAAGAATCGAGATAGGATTAAAATTTAAAAAGAATTCATCATTAATTGAATTGATTAAAGTAATTCACTCCCTTTCTAACTTTTTACAGTAATGGTTGGTTTACATAATTTGAGCTTGTATTATACTTTTGACTAAATTAAAATTATTTATAAAAAAAATAAAAATAGAAAAAAAAATGGGGGAGTGGGGCCCAGGAAAGACCGTGAAAGGTCAGTGGCGGTTAGGGAAGAATTTGATGATATAATGTTGCTTCAGTTAGAAGCTTAAAAGGGAAGGATTAATTTGGTGGTGAGGCGAGTCTTTTTTATTTTATTATTATTAATTTTTTTAATAATAGATTAAGAAATAAGTTAATTAAATATTATTATTATTAAGATAAAAATGGGGTTTGCTTCTGTATCACAACTTTAACAAACTTGGGTTTTCTATTGTCAAATGTTTTTTTTTCTTTTCTTTTAAGATCCCACATCAAATTTTGTTTGGTGAAACTCTTGGTTCATTCAATGATCTCAGATCTTAAATGGCTCTCTTTTTTTTTTTTTTATTAATTGGGTATTCAACTTGGATAAATTGATCTTTGACAAAAATTCTTGTTAAAAATGTTTCTTTTCTTTTGGATAAAATTTTTATTTTGGCTTCTAAACTTTTAAATTAATTTTAATTTAATTTTTGTACTCTATTCTCAAACTTTACATAAAAATTGTTTTGGTTTTTGATATACTTTTATTTTTTTATAATTTTAAAAAGGTAACAAGAGATGTCTTTTGTCCGTTTCCACCTCTTTCTTTTTTTTTTGGGTACTTTTCATGATTATATTAGTCACAAACTTCGCATAAAAATAATTTGGTTTTTATTTATTCTATTGTTTATTTAGTTCGTATTGCTTAATGATTTTTATTTATTCTAGTGTTTATTTAGTTCTAAAAAAATAGTTCTATGGTTAGAACAATCAACCTCTATTATTTTTACCACATTTGTTTGACGGGCTCTATTTACTTCAAACCTAAATCTATGCGAATAATTTGTTTTTATTTCATTCCTAAAGCTTCATATGAGCCAAAATGTTGTTCTTTTATTCATATACCATAAATCTCCTCATATTTTGGTCGAAATAGAACTTTTCTCATCCAACGAACAATGAACTTAAAATAAGAATTTGTATTGTTGGTGTTTGATGTTCTTTTTATTCTTAAAACTTACTTTTTTTCCCTTGTTCTTTTTTTGGTTAAATGCATCATACCAAACAAAATTTTAACATCACTTACTTCCGATTAAAGGAAAAAATCGTACGTATATAGAACCACATGAAGTTTTATTCAAAATGTTAAAAAGAAAAAAAAAAGTTTCCAAAAATTGTTGTACAACAAATTAAATGGGAGAGTAGAGTAAAAAAATTGTTTGCTTTCTTATTCATTAAGCTCCTAACACCAACCTAAATCCTACCTTTAGGTTCCCATAAAACCAAGTCATGTCCATCCCTTTCTAATAGGGTTGTTATGTTAACCAAATTAATTTATAATGTTTCCACAAATAATAATTTTGGAAGCAAACCCATTAGGGAGATTGAGCTTATGGTAATAAAATAAAATTTGAAATACTTTGATTTCTCATGATATGTTGAACTTTTCATAACGGTTTATTTACTCTTTATACCTTAAAAATTATGACAATTAAGTCTCCGAGTTAAAATGTTCATTATAATTATAGAATTAGAAAAAAAAAACCTATGCATGTACAAGTGGATAATGCCAATGGGCCTCCTACGACTCCAAATTAAATATACAGTTCAATTTCAACTTATATTTATATAACGGGATAATAATGAGTTTTTTAAATTTATTAACAAAAAAATTAATATGACGTTAAATTATTGTTTTATTAACATATTTAAACACATGAGAAATAATTTGGACATACCACACGGAAGAAGTAAGATCTTTGTTGATTGAGGGTTAGAATTTATTGATGGGTGAATTGAGATTGATTATGTATTTAATAATATATCAACTTTGGTAAAAAAATAAAAAAAAAAAAAAGAAAAAAGAAAAATTTAACACAATTTTTTATGGATTGATGTAATTAAGAATTTTCAATATATTAGAGGTATTGAGAATTTAAAGTATTTGATATTGCTAAAATTGAAAATTGTGTGAAGGCATAAATCAAACGTGATTCAACTTCCAGAAAATTCATATTATTTCTTTCTTTAGTTCAAAAATATTTTAGGAGGTAAGATTCGAACTTCCAACCATTTGATCCACGAATATATGTTTTAACCAATTGACTCAAGTTAACACAAATTCATATGATATCATTATAATAAAATTCGTTGATATCAACCGTTAATATTAATGAACTCAAAAAAAAAAAAACTCAAAATATCAATGGAACCAAGGTGTATAGACACCAATTTTTTTCCTATTTTTTAAGGTTTAGTACATTAATAGGCTATTCAGATACTATAATTACATAAAAGGATTAAATGATATAAAATTTACACTTTTGTCAAAAACAATTCTATGGTATCCATTACTCAATTTACTAATATATCATTTTGTATCTCACCTCAATATTAATTAATTTTTAAAATTCAAAATTGGTTACTTGAAGGTTACATTTTAAACCCTTAAATTTTGCCTAATTAGACTTTTTAAAAGTAAAAAATATCAAATCTCTAAAATCCTCTATTATTGAAAAAATTCGAAAGCCTCCTCCTTCTGACTTTTCTTCTTCCTCTGTTGTTCTGTTTCCGTTCATTCCTTCGTTTCCGGCCGCCGCCTCCATTCTTCTTTGTTGTCGGAATAGTCTGTCTAGTTTCTCCTTCGTCTCCAACCATCTGTCTATTGTTTCCGTCAGGTTTCTTTTTTGTCATCGGCCGCCCGTCGACCATTCGAGCCTTCCTTTCATCCCGATCATTGTCTAGTCACCGACCAGAAGGTTTGTAAGTTATTTGTTTTGTTTGTTAATTGTAAAGGGATATAGTCGTATATACTTTATAGTTAGCTATAGGTTATATCTTCGTATAAGTATATGTTATAATAGATATAGTTTATATCATCATTGAGTATGTTGCTTAAGTTCATATTTAGATATAGTTTATATTTTCATATAAATGAAAAGGTAACCGGATATAGTTCATGTCTCCGATATACATATATGTATGTATGTATGTATGTGTATATATACATATATGTGTATGTTATAATGATATATTATTGAAATTTGGCCAAAAATTGTAATGAAATGAAAAAATATTTTTGTAATAAATTTCATTATTTAGTAGAATATATTAAGGAGTAAATTTGAGAATAATATTTTATAATAAATTTCATTCTTTGGTAGAATATGTTAAGGAGTAAATTGAGGGATTATGAGAATGATTGATTTAGGCCCCACAATAATTTAATGTTTACAAAATGAGATTTAAATATTAATCTTTTGCATTTAAATAAAAGATTAATTATAATAAATATAAATGCCTAAATAAGGGAAATTTGTAAACATTGGAGATTTGTGAAAATAAGTTTCCAAAATAGCTCATCTAACACATTATCTCTAATTTTTAAAGTGTTGACTAAAGAAATGTTTTAAAATTTTAATTCAAAATAAAAATAACATAACAATAACTAATTAATTTTATCGTAACTCAACGGATTAAAGAAATATATTTGATCAAAGATGGTGGTTCCTATTTTACA